CAAAAATTTGTAGCCAAGCTGGCGGAACCAACCATTGACCTCCTAAAGTTGAACCTTCTTAGCATTCCCAACTCTCCATTGATATCCAATATTGGCATCTTTAGTGTCTCACAAAACTCCTTTCCAAAATGGGGAGATATCATTGCTGGGATAAGCAAAAAGGTTAGGAGATTGGGTTGTGCATTCCTGACAAATGATTTGTTTCTAGAACTTGTTATTATTTAAACAACATCTCTTAATCCAAGAGGCTACAAGGCAAATGTTAACTTCAAAGAGATTAGGTATACCCAACCCTCCAAATTATTTACTCATACATAACAAATTACAATTGGCTACGTGGTACTTGATGGCTAGGTGGTACTTATCCCCCAAATAGTGAGCCATTCGAGAGTTCTTCAAAGAAATTACCCATTTGAAAAACTTAATGACACTCATATAGGCAATAATGCTGGCTAGTCAAGACTGGAACAAAGTCAATCAACCACTGTGAGCTTCCCTCTCCATTCAACAACTCTTTTAACAGTCTTATCAACTACTGGTTGTAGGCCCCCTTCCTATGTTTAGCATGGTCAAGGGGAACACCAAGATACTCCTACATCACACGGTATCACATGGTTTGAGCAAAAGGTTGAGCCTCAATGTTAATAGGCATCAAATCACATTTATTGAAATTAATCCTCATACCAGACAAACTGTTCAAAACACACAAGAATCCATTTGAGGTTTCTAACATGGTCGTCTTATTTTTTTTAGAGAGGGTATCATGAGCATATTGCATGCTAATACCAGTAGGTTAAATTATTTGAAAACCCCCAAGAATTTGCTCATATTACCTTAATGAGCATTCTAGTGAATACTTCAACAACTAAATTTAGTACCAAGGGGAAATAGGGTGACCTTATCTAACACCTCTACAAGATTCATAGAAATCACTAGTAATACCTACAAAACCATTCCTAAGTTATGTTTTGACAAGATTGACCCACTTATGGCAAAGGACCCCTTTGAATGATAATAGAGGCAAGAAATATCCTATTAACCATGTCACATGCCCTTTCATAATCTAATTTGAAGATGAAACCACATTGCCCTCTATGCACCACATCATGAATATCTTCATGAGTAGAGAATACTTTCCATAATATACCTCTTTGGGGCAATAAGTTCTTTCCTAATTTTTCCAAGCCTAAAATGGTAGGACATTTGATGGCTAGGTGGTACTTATCCCCAAAACAGTGAGCCTTTTGAGAGTTAATCAAAGAAATGTCCCATTTGAGAAACATAATGACACTCATTGGAGAAACAACCTTATCTACCGCCCTTCCTATGTTTAGCATGGTGAAGGGGAACACCATGATACTCCTACATCACATGGTATCGCATGGTTTGAGCAGAAGGTTGGGCCTCAATGTTAACAGGCCTCAAATCACATATATGGAAATTAATCCTCATACAACTATTCAAAACACACAAGAATCCATTTGAGGTTTCTAACAAAGTCATTTTTTTTAAATCAGAGTATCATGAGCATATTGCATGCTAATGATACTAGTAGGTTGAATTATTTGGTAAAGCCAAAAATCTGCCCATAATAGTTGCCTTAATGAGCATTCTAGTGAACACATCAACAACTTAATTATGTCAAGGGGAACTGGGGTGACCTTGACTAACACCTCAACCTGATTCACAGAAATCACTGGTAATACCTACAAAACCATTCAAAAGAAAAGTTTTGACAAGATAGACCCACTTATGGCAAAAGCCCCCTTTAAATGATAATAGAGATAAGAAATATCCTATTAACTATATCACATGTCCTTCCATAGTCTAATTTAAAAGATGAAACCACATTGCCCAATATACACCACATCATGAATAACTTCATGGGTAGAGAATACTTACCATAATACACCTTTCCATAATAACATTTGACACCCCCCTAAAACTACAATTACAAAGAGCAATAGATCTATACTTAGGTGTAGACACTTCATCTGGTTCTTTAAATAGATCTAGTTCTTCTTTATTTCAACTATTAAGCATGGCTATAAGGTCATCCCTAATTAAATCTGAGAACTGTTGTTAAAAAAAGGAAGGAAAGGCCATGGAGCCCAGGGACACATTCAGCACATGAAATAAATACATCATCCCTAATTTCAGATTCAGTAAAATTAAAGACATCACCCCTAATTTCAGGTTCATTAAAATCACCATCCATGACAATTTCACTAGAATCCCATAATCAAAAGGTAAATACACATTCAGTTTGGGCCGTAAACCCCAAAACTGATGGCACTGTTATTTTAAGGGCCTATCAAGGGCACATCTAACTATTGACATCTAAGTGACTCAATCACATATAAAAAGAAAAGATAAAAAACAAATACTCACATGAATCTCCATGTAAAATCAATGACAAAGGACTTAGATGTCCAAAACTTAGGGGCACATCTAGATGTGCTTTAGCAAAATCTTTTTTTATTTAAATCTACAACAACTTATCAACATGTACTCCAACCATTCCAAAATATAAGGTGTATTTATCTTTTCAAAAGTCAAACAGGTGCATGTTTGACCAAGTTTCTAAGAAAAAAATATCAATATCTACAAGTATCAAATTTGTATCATTTGATCCATTATGAAAAGTATTTTCATATTGTATATATTAGGTATTGCATATTTTTGATATTTTATTCCTTAATCTTGGTCAAACATACAAACGTTTAACTTTCCCGAAAATTCACATCATATTCTAGAATGAATGAAGTAATATTAGATAGGATAAATCAAATAATCCATAGATGAGCCCAAATAGATCAAATCCCTATAACAGTAAATAAAAAAAACATTTTTTCAAAAATCTAATTTTTACACCAAAAATGATGGAGTTTGCTAGGGAAATGCAAAATTTCATGATGAAATGACAATCAAGGAGCTCCAAAAAAAACCACATTCACGTTTCCAAAATGCCTTTATTCAAAGTTTCTTTGAGAATATTTTTTTGCATAGACCTTCTTGAATGTCATTTGTCACCCCTAGCACAGTCGACCATCTTCCGTGCTGAATATCTTTAGATGAGTTTTTTTTTCTTTTTCTTTTGAATTTGATGTTCGTTGTCAGGTGCAGATGCACTTGGGCACCAAAAAAACGCCATCATAGGATAAATCCCTGATTATACAAATATTGAACAAAATATGTTGCAACTAGAAGGGCACACATTCTACTACATTCATCACAACTAGTACATTAACCAGGCTAATCTATATCACTGCAAATTCCACAAGGTTAAAGAATGCTACGGCAACCCAATACCTTCCATGCATCCTTTTCAGTTTTCACGCGGTGGGACTGTAACGCAGGTGCTGCTCGTAGTAGTTTATCAGCACCAACGGGTTTGTAGACTTCAATTCCTTGTCATCCACAAGAACCTCCTGCCCATCAGACCTGAGTGCTCTGAATGTTATGGAAACCTGCTGCACGTCATCTGTCATGGTGGCATGATACCGCACTGGCTTGATGATCTTAGTGATGCAACGGTTAGCACCGTCCACCCCCTTGGTCCTATCACCCGTTTCTCCTTGTGCGGAATCAGTTTTCTCATTGCCAGGCTTCTCACTTGTGCCATTGACAACTTGCCCTTGCTCCTGCTGCGCCTCATCCTGCTTGAACCTCCTGACAGACCCAAGCTTGCGCTTCTTGGCACCGGTCACCTGGCCAACCTGAGGTGGGGGTCCCTGTACTGAACTATCAACCTTTGATACACCACTCGCAGGCTGATGCTCATCCTGTTGATGAACCACAACAGACGGCAGGCCAACCGAAAGCACATTTGAGCTGCCCTCCTGTGTAGCACCTTGTCCAAGCATTTGCTGAGGAGCCACGTTCACTGATGCATCAGAGCCCGCAACCAAGTTCCTGTTGGTGTTATCAGTACCTCTCCTGCTGCTTGCTCTGGGAGGCAATATCTTGCGCTCTGGGACAGGACGTTGGGACAGAGACCGAGGATCTGAACGCCGTGGGCGGCCCCTTCTACCCTGAGAAGAAGGGTTGGGACTTACCACGGGAGTAGTGGAGATCTTGCGCTTGCGCTTGCGCTTGCCATAGGACCTTGGTTGCTGCCGCTTCTCAAAGGCTTCAACAAAATCAGAGCAGGCCTTGAGGTTTTCTTCAGGCTCCCATGTGTTGGCGCTCTCCGGCCACCCACGCCATTTGACGAGGTACTGTATCTGGTTCTGGCGGCGGCGGCGGCGGCGGATGGTCTCGATCTCGTAGTATCCCTCCGCCAGCTTGGGCGGCGACCGCTGGTCCTCCGGCTGCTCCTCCGCCGAGGCCTCATCAGCCTCCTCCTCCTGTTCCCACTCCTCTTCCTCCTCCTCCGCCTCATCCTCCTCGTGATTCCACTCCTCCTCTTCGTCTCCCTTGACTTCCTCCTCCTCTTCAACCTCCATCACCGCTGCCGCCTCCTCCTCCGCCGGATCGACGGATCCGCGTGCCGCCCAGGGATCCTTTTTGCCTCGACCCATCACCAAAGGTCTGACTCCGCTTCCCCTGGGTATGCGGTGGATCTGCTGGAGGCGGACTCAGGTTGTGGGCGGACCTTTTGTGGATTGGTGGATGCGGGCTCGGGGATTTTGGGCGACACGGGGGAGCAGATCTTGGTGCAGGGACCCGAGCAGGCGTTGATGCAGGGGATAGGGGCGGGGCGGCGCGGGCCGAGATGGGAGGCGGGGGTGCGGCGGCGGCTAGGGTTAGCTTGTGGCCTTTGACCGTGTGGGAGAGTGGTGACGAGGGGATTGGTGGGAGAGTGGCCTTTGTTTTAGGCTTTAGCTCCGTGTCCGCCCGAAAAAGTGGCCCACGAGAGGCCCAACAAACTCTTCTCTTGTGCAAAACAAAACCAGCAGGCACGAACGGACAGCTCGACCTCTCCTGCGCGCCGCCACAGCACCTACCTAAGCCCTAAACCCAACGCGCCCACCACCTGCCCCGCCGCCGCCGGCGAGATGGCCGGCGCGCGCTCGCAGGTCAACAAGCCGCACAAGACGCGCTTCGCCTCCAAGGCCTCCCGCCACTCGCACAAGATCGGTACAGCCTAGCTAGCTCCTCCCTCTCTGGGGGGGAGCTCCCTACCGTTTTATACATCGCTTTTCCCCTCTGTCGTGCAAGTAAAACTGCAAATCTCACTGGCTGCCCGGGTGCTGCTGTTTCCGCAGACAAGGTCAGGAGCGGGAAGCCGGCGGGCAGCCACCGCGCCGCAGTTAAGGGCGCCCGTGCGGCGCGCCTCCAGCACAGCAAAGCGGTGACGTTCTAGCTCAGCGAGCTGCCACCCTTCGTAATTTAGCTGCTGCTATATGTCTGCGATGGTTAATCTTCAGTTAGATGATGGGGCTGGCGAAATTTGAGGCCCTGCATGATTACTTTTTTTTTGTTCATATCCTGTATGCTGTTGGTACTACTGTAGTACTCCCTCCGTCCCAAAATAAGTGTCTCAACTTTGTACTACCTCTAGTACAAATTTGTACTAAGCTCAAGACACTTATTTTGGGACCGAGGGAGTACTTACTAGGCCGATGTGATGTACTACATTTAAATTTGTACGCCTTCATTGAGCTCCGTCCTGTTTTGACCATTTTGAAGCTAGAATTCTGTTAACAAACAATAAGCTTAATTTTGCAAAGGTGAAACTGCAACCTTCTGTATTTTGCCGATTAGATTGCTTCAATTTGTATAAATTGTTTTGGTTGAGCTTGAATGTTTCTTCAGCCAACAAGCAGTAGGGGCTCGTGCCATGTAAAGAATATTTATATTGATACAATTTGCTTTGGCTCAAAATTTAATGTACTTCTTCTCTTCCAACCTCTATCTGTTCTTGCTAGATAAAGGGACAGCCTCACAAAATTCATTTCAATCTGCTCATTCTTCTCGTTCAGTTTGTATTATTTTTAAGCTACATGTCTGTCATCCAAATGAATTCTATTATGTTGTTGGATATGTTTTCTGTTGGATTTTCATTGATTTGATGTTTAAAGAGTTTGATCATTACTATCACCATTTTCCATTCTTATCCTATTGCCTGAAATATTTTTAACTGGGACGCAGATCCGTGATCAGAAACGCGCTGCCTTGCTAAAGGAGAAGCGGTCATCTAATGGCTCCTCAAGTGCACCCCGTGTTATTGTTAGTATTCTTGATCTTTGCTCTTGTTGTCCTACACTATTGGCCATTTTTTATTGTTTCCTGCTGTCACACAATAGATATAATCTAATCTCTGGCTGTCGCAGGTTCTTTGTGGCCTTTCCTCATCTGCAAATGTTGGGCCACTTGCCGAAGATCTTTTGACATTTGCAGCAGGAGGAGATGAGAAACTGACTTCCAACACCGTTGCCTCTCCCGCCTATAAACTTCGAACCACGGTTAGTTCAGTAGGAACAGAGTACTAAAGATGCCCAGTACATAGTGCAAACATTTATTTTCAACCATTCCATTTTGTGGCTATTCTTGCATCATTTTGCTGTATGTATGGCCATGACTGGGCTGCACACAATTCTCATTATATATGTCCCTGCGTTAATTTTAGTGTTTAGTTTTTTCTGTTTATTGAATTTAGTTAGTCAATTTCATTGTTTTATATTCATGATATTTGTTAAGGTACTGCAAGCACCATATGGGGACCTCACCTCATGCATGGAACTGGCAAAGGTATGCTCTTCAAGCAAACTCAATATGGCACAATTATGTTTTATTGGAATTTCTTTACTCTAATATCGAACATGCAAATTGTATTTTCCTCCCTAGGTTGCTGATTTGTTAGCATTCGTAGTGTCAGCAAATTCATTATACAACAGCGATTCAGGCAATCCAATTGATGAGTTTGGATCACAATGTCTATCTGTTCTTCGAGCCGTGGGCTTACCTAGTACAGCTGTTTTCATTCGAGTAAGTTCGCCATACCAAGTTTTTCTCACTCAAGACGCTATCTCGTGAATACCAATTTAATTCTTTAATATTATCAGGATCTTCCATCAGATACCAAAAGTAAGCAGGAATTGAAGAAAGCAGCGGTTTCTTTCCTTTCTCCAGAGCTGCCTGAAGATTGCAGGTTCTATGCAGCAGAAACTAAGGATGATTTGCATATGGTAAATTTTCTTTTGTTTGTTTTTAAATGGAGAAGTATGTATTCTATTCTATAGTCCTAATGCTCCTTCTGATTATTTATCACCGTTTTGAAATTTTCCAGTTCATGCGGCTTTTCAAGGAGCAACATCTTTCATCACCACATTGGAGAAATCAGAGACCCTATGTTATGTCTGAGGAGGTTGTAAGAACTTCGTCCCACTTTCATCAAAAAGTTGTTAACTGTTATTTTGTTGTAACATAAACGTTTGCCCTACTGCATTGATGTTTCTCATCTTAGATGTTTCTTTGAGAATACTGTTTCTGTGCAAGTATGGTACTGTTAAAACACTTGGATAAAACTTAGGTTGTGATTTGTCACATTGGCTTTGATTCCAAAAAATTAGTTGCAGTCCTAGCAATAAAAAAATTAGAACTCATGCTTGTGCTTGTTCTTGTAAGTTCTAGACTAACTGACTATATTCTCACTAATTTTGTACACAAACAACTTCCGTGAGTTCACCTACCACTGAAACTCTCATACTTTGTGCAGAGGAGTTTTAATTTGACCCTCCCACCATGCCCTCTAAGAATTGCAGTTACGGTTGCGATCCCGTATTTCAGTTACAAATTAGGCTGAATATCAAAGCAAATCATACTTTTCGTTAGATCTGCCTTTAATATTATCACATGTATTGTTAAGTTAAATATACCACAATATCTCTCAAGCTCACTACCTGTACAATATCGCCCGACTCTAGTCTTTGCTTCTTGCAACTTTACGTTCACCTGCCTCCTTTTTTATTTGACAGTTGATGGTGCTGACTTAAGATCTTTCTTTCAGGCCTGTATAAAACCAGGTGACAGTATGGGGTTGTGCACCTTGCTTGTGTCTGGATATCTGCGGGCCCACAATCTTTCAGTGAATCAGCTTGTGGGTGATCTTTGTTTTAATTTTTATTGGTAGTCTTATCTGCTTCTTGTTCTAACACCTGCTCCATCAAAGGTACATGTGTCAGGTGCTGGTGATTTTCAGTTAGGACAAATTGATATCCTCAAGGATCCATGTCCTGTTAGTGAAAGGAAAAACTCCGATGTAATGGATTCAGATGATAATCAAATTCAGGTTTGTTACTATAGGATGAATGCAGAGCTTTAGAAATTGAATAGTGCAGTTACATGTATATTACGACATACCGTCAGGGCCTCCCCTACAATTTACTTTCAAAAGAAGAAACGTTATTATGATATAGAATCATCCACTATATGAGTTCTTGTTTTTTCCATCTTACATACAGTTTTTATTGATCACGCTCCGGTAACTTCTCATTGTTTGCCTGTTTCAGATTATTGATACCTTCGTTCCAGACCCCTTGAATCAGGAACCATTACTTGTTGAAAATATTCCAGATCCTCTTGCAGGAGAGCAGGTGATAATTTCCCCGATCTAGCTTAGTGATTTAATAAGCCATTATTTGTGTTCTTTCACTTTTGCGGTTACAACAACAACAACAACAACAACAACAACAACAAAGCCTTTAGTCCCAAACAAGTTGGGGTTAAAGGCTTTGTTGTTGTTGTTGTTGTAACCGCAAAAGTGAAAGAACATAAATTGTTGCCCTTCTCAGAACTTCAATTTAGTGCTTAATGTTGGACAGTGATTACTTCCAAATTTCATCACACGTGGCACTGAGGTGTTCCTTTTTGGTTTGATGAATTGTTTCTTTATACATGAGATGCTTGGCACATGGCCTACTAATTCTTTAGTGGAAGTGTTCTTAAAAATGGTCTTTTCCTTCAGCAGGTGCAACATATGTTTCAGTAGATAGGGCATATGCTTAAGCATAGCAAACTTAATGGTATATTTGTTTCTGTTGGGCCCATCTTTTTTGGGAGCATTTGTCAGATTTTTATATGATCCACTTCACACTTCCAAAGGCTGCAGATTCTCATGAACTGCACTGTTTTTCCTTGTTGTGCATACTACGTCAATTCAAAAGTTTCCTCTTTATATTTGTTGATGGCATTGTTTTTCTTTTCAAGTAAAAGTCAAACTAGGCAAATCAATTGTAAGTACTAATGTGCAGTATTATTTGTATTTGATTAGACTTGGCCAACAGAAGCTGAGATGGAGGAAGCCTACGAAAGCAATAAACAAAGAAAGGTTGTAAAGAGGAAACTTCCTCGCGGCACATCAGAATACCAGGTTCACAAGGCTATTGAAGATTGAATATTTACTCTTAATATAGCCCATGATATTTTTATTTAAAAATAATATTAATGCTATTGGCAGGCTGCTTGGATTGTTGATGATACAGATGATGAAGGTGATGATTCTGAGAATGACAATCCAGATGGTGCTGGAATGGTAATTGATGAGAAAGATCACTCAGAGCACGACAGCGATAGTTCAGATATAGATGCAGTGTCTCACTTCACGGAGAAATTTGATCAAGAAACTATTGGGGGTTCTGAGATGGGAGTAAGTTACCTTATTTCTTGTCCTTGATCTGATGACATTACACTATTTAATGCACTTGCTCCATTTGCTAGCCTTTTACTGACTTAGCCGGTGCATGCCAATACAACTCTTGCCCTTGGAATGCTTATGTTTTTATTTTCCTCCCTCCACATTTTGTTTGCCATGTTTTTTTTTGTTTGTGACTGGTTTTGCGCGATAGAGAAAACGTAATGTGCGCAGGGAGGGTGAGAAGGATAACGTAAGAAGGATCTAGCGAAAAAACTCCAGTGCTCCTACCTAGAGAACTATAGTTCCCAGTGGCGCTGTACTGGACTAATATTTCCCACCCCATCTGGATCCGGTTGGGACTAGATATGGGCAACATTTTAATATTTGTCTGAATGCATATAGGTCGTTAAAGGTGTAAAACTTTAATGACATGAGTTATTGTACAAAATTACTTTTGAAATGAGGGATTCAAATGTACACCTACTCAACGCGATATTTTATACTATATATTTGCTCAAAGTAAAGTTTAAATAATTCACAAAAGTTTTCCGGCCCACCTTTTGCAATCTTACATGAACTGTTTGTATGGGGGGAACATTATCGTCCTGGAGTACTGCTTTGCTCTTCTGTGCTGTTCTGTAAATTGTGAGGTGTGCCTTGCTGGCCTTTTGAAATTAGTGTCCTCTCTTGTTTTACTCTTTGGATTCCTTCATCAATTTTTAGGTACACGCCTCAAACTAAATGTATCCTTTCTGCATTTGCAGGATGATGAAAATCTTACCAAAGAGCAGATTGAGGAAGACATCAAGAGAATCAAAGAATCTAATGCTGATGATGAAGGTACGGGTTTTCAACTGCCTTCAAGTGTTTAAAATCCCTTTTAGTAAGCATCAATGTTCCAAATATCGGCCAGTTAATCGGCATCTCAGTAAGTTAATCGCTACTCGGTGGGTCACCGAATAACCGATTAACTGATTTATCGGCCGATTCGCCTATTATCCCTACCCAGCACCCGACCGATATGGTACCAGTTACCGGTATCCTGAACATTGGTAAGCACACCACATGGAGGGTCTAAAACCTGGTTCCTGTTTTTTATTTATTGGCTTGCTGGTACACGTTTCCAGCTAATTCG